AAAAAAAAAAAAAGTATGAGACAAATATGTATGCTTTTTTGTTCCGAATGCTTTAGAATGTAGTCATATGATTAAATTTTTCTATTCAGTCAGATATGGAATTCCGCACTTATGATTGTGCATTTAAAAAATAATAATAATAGTAAAAATAATTATATTAGTAATAAGATTAGAGATTTGTNTTCAAAGCAAAAACAAAATACATTTAAGGCGAAGCAATCAGCTGATCACCACCACCGTGTATAAATTCGCCTTGGCTTCCTCCTTATATTAATTCGCCTTTCTTCGGACTAAAGCTGAAATTAGTCAAGAACGTAAACCTACCGGTACGTAAANTTTTTTTCTGCAATCAAGTGCCTTTGAGTCTGCTGGTACAACTACATGTTATTAATTATAAGATAGCCGATTCACTTTATTATTTGGCTTAAAAAATGAATTACTTCTGTAGTTTTTGGTGATTTTGTACTCAATAATTTTTTAATTTCCTCATGTATACGAAAATTCATCCTATAACCTGTACTTACATGAGTACCTGATAGGGTACAAACCTTTTATTCTTGTATAAAAGGCAATCAAAAAAAAAAAAAAAGGCTGATAGAGAATATTGTATTTATTGTATTATAATGTACGTAGTACGATAGGTTAATTTGGTGATCAATCACTTTTGAGTTTGTGCAGTTTGAAGTTTTTGCTTGGTTTAGTCTCAAAGGCTATTTTAGTTTGTATTTTATTATCTTTATTAGAAATTAAATTTGTGAGTCACCCTGCATGCTTGTTCGACGTGGGATTGAATCATCACTGGAACCGGCTCGTCGGGTCACCNATCAGCTTAAAACCTGAAACTTATGACTGAGAGATTGATCTGGCAACCTTTTTTTTACTTGTTTGCTTTTATTTGCTTGGCAATGCTCTCTATTTTTGACGTTCCTCTTTGGGTGTTTAAAATTAACAAATTTTAAATTACAGTGCAAAGATGCCGCCCAGAAAAAATCTCGATCTCAACATTGAAGTGGATATTTTAACAGCTGGATCTATTTCAGATGTTGTCAACGCAATCCTTGAGTTTCTGCTCTTTCAAAGGAACCAAATTCCGTTCGTATACAACACCTACAAATACTATGTAGGATTATGGCCAGAAATCAAAGGCGGAAATGATGGCAAAATGGAGGTAGTTGCAAATGAGGAACCATCCATCACTACTTTACACTCCTATCAGTTGGAGCGACAGCGAGAACAGGCTGTCCAAACAAAGGAGGCAATAAGTGCAATGCGAACGGTATGTTCAGTTGGAATTTAAATGCCATACATGCTTATGTATATAATTTGTATATTTTTTATCAAAANAAATGATGGCAAAATGGAGGTAGTTGCAAATGAGGAACCATCCACCTCTACTTTACACTCCTATCAGTTGGAGCGACAGCGAGAACAGGCTGTCCAAACAAAGGAGGCAATAAGTGCAATGCGAACGGTATGTTCAGTTGGAATTTAAATGCCATACATGCTTATGTATATAATTTGTATATTTTTTATCAAAAGCTCATAAAACAATCATTTGACAAGAACGTTGTTCGCTGTTTAAGGTTCCTTTTTGGATCCACGACATTTACAGCAAAAGAAGCTTATACCATTCACATACCAATTGATTCTATATCCCGGCTTCACTCCCACAACCAACACCGTATTCTTCACGGACGACTTAATCAAACCTTAATGTGAGTGCATACTACTGTACTTTTATCGTTGATATAACATACCCTAATTTATTACAGTTCACTCTTGACCAGCGAAGATCTCTACAATATTTTTTCTCATAATCTTTGTCCAACCAATCTGTATCTCGAACTAGAAATCTTGACTGAGCCAGGCGTTTTAAATGAACCAAGTACAAAGGCTCTCTTACTGCCAAAAGATGTAGGTCCGTTGCCACCCAGTTGTAAGGACATTCACTTCTATTTGCAGCATACGCCGTACCCATTGATTGATGGTGGTCTGCCTTTGAACTGTTGTAAAGAATTGGAAGTATTCGAAAATATAAAGCACCTTGATATAAGTGATGCTCAGTCGGAAAATTACGATTTTTCCGCTACGAAAGAAAAACAGTCGGCGCCCACTTGGTGGGAAACAGACATTTATGTGCGTGGTTTCAAAGAGAAGTCGGTAAAAGGATTGAACGTGTGGGCGAAGTGATATCCAATCGTATCGCATAACCAATAAAAGTGTACAGTCGAAAGCTTCATTTATTATACATAACATTTATTTCTTTTTGCCTTTTCGTGAACTCTATTGATAGCAAAGAATTAAATCGACTTTAATTTAATAATGCGCTCGTTTTTATTTAACTTGCTCTGTATGTATGTATGTAGGGATGTTTGTTAGAGGCAAATCTACCAAACAAATTTTTGACTAACTTCCCGATGACCTAGAGACTTGAAACTTTGCTGTTGGCTCAGAACCCTATGACATTGCAACATATTCAAGCCGATTCTGTACAGAAATTCCCTGGAAGTTTTCTATCTTTTCCCTTTCCTCCTATCATCCCTGAGGATTTTTTATATTAAATGACGGAGTTGAGCAGTCAAAAAAGTGTCAAATAGTTTACGAAGTTTGATTTCCCTCCTCCCAAATTTTCGGGGAAGATACTACTCCCTGGGGGTTAATTAATAGAGGAACTTTTTCGGGAGTATTAAGAGTTAGGCTGATATAGTAAACCAGTATTTCTGGTCCGATTTAGTTCATATTTAGAAAGCTTGTTTTAAAAATATTTGTTTTTACTATTAACTTATTTCTTTGAAATTTATGTTTGCAATTTTCACATTTCATAAACCAAACTAATACAAAAAAAAAAATAATAATTTAATATAAATTATGCAGTGCCTCGATTCGGATAACAATGACTCTCAGTATAATAAATTCACCAATAAGATAGCTGAAGAATGCCGCGAGCTTGTCGATTCTAAGCCACCATTTCCGCCATTTGATAGGCCTAGTCGAAAGCCACCAACGCTTGACACTTTTTGCAACCACAAAATAAATATTCAATACAAATACCAAGCAAACGGCAAAGACGGAAACCCACAGCCATGTGGATTGTGTATAAAGATAGATGACAATGGCAAAAAGCAAGTGCCTTGTCCGCCTTGTATAAAAAAGGAGATGACACGCGAAGAGAAGTTAGCAGAAGCCATTAAGTGTATTTCAAGTCCTCTTCCTAGATGGTTTAACGAACAGAAGCGTTGCGACCCTAAGGGCGTTTGTTGCCGTATGTTAGGGCCACGCTCGTGTGCTGAACCGGAATTGTCTTCCAAAGTCGGATAAAAATATTTGAAATTATAAAGCTCCTAACTACAATTTTTTTCAGATCGATAAATTCGCTATAAGTTACCCGCCAAATAAACAAGCTTTACGCACCGAGCTGCATAAAAACCCCAGTTGTAAGCCGAACTTTCGTTGTCAAGGCACTGTAAACGATGGTAATTATCATACATTCAAGCCAAACTATAGAGATCGACCTCTGACTGAAAAGTTCTATTCCATTTATGAACATTTGGAACACATAGACACACCAGAGGTTAAACATTATGAAGACGAATTAGATAAAGTTATAAATTATTATCCCAGAAATATTTTTTGTGTTCCACGATACACAAACCAATATTATGGCTGGATCGATAGCAAGAAAACCCAAAATTTGGAATTTTGCGACACAAGTCGGGTGAATAATCCAAGAGTGCTACAAAATTTAAGGTCGCTAAAGAACAGGCGTTTCGACCCTGTTCAATTACAATATTGCCTTTGCCATGATAGGATGAAACAAATGGATCATTGGAAAATAGTTTAAACAAAAATGCAAAAAAAAATTAAAAGAAGTAAATTTTTATTGTAATTACAGCCAAACAAGAAAAATAAACTTAAAAAAATATTTTTTTAAGTTTACAATTGTAAACATTAAATGGTCAAATAATAATGTGTTGTCACTTAAGGGGTCGTTGTTGTAATTTTGGGAATGTCGGCATACCAGTGTTACAGACAGTCGGGTCTACGTAACCGGAACGACCCAGATTTATATTTGGCCAAGGACTGTCAATCCAGCAACACTCCCCAAAAACTCTTTGGGGAATTTGTATGCTGCTACAACAACAACAACACTCTATTCATTCCAATTTCATTTCTGGGAAAAATGGAACAAAAAATGGAGCAGACAATTTTGTGAAAAAAGTATTTTGTAAAAAAGTCTATTTCACCATGATTAAGACCCAATTTCATAAAAAATAAATAAGATTATACCTGCTTTACAAATAGAAAATTTGTATGAAAATGTCACTTTTATTTTTTATGAATAGGGCAGTAAGCCTGCAAGACGGGTAGTCGTTAGCGAACGTGTGTTGAGCTAGTTACCTTGACTGTTTGGATGTTATTTTGCAGGTTACTCTTGTTCTGGCTGTGGGAAAAAAATAACATACTTTCCCGCATTGCTACACGTATGTGTGATGCTCTTATTCACTCTATCCCATTGCTTTTGAGCTTGCTTCTGTTGCTCTTATGCTAACGGGATTCTTAATTACTGCAGCTAGAACCCTCTTATGCTAGTTACCATGCAGGTTACCCGCTGGTTACCTCAGACCGTTCTGCCGGTTACCTGTCTGTTAGCAAGGGGCTACCGTCTTGGTTACCTTTTTGTTACCTCGACCTGCTGCGTCGGTTATCCGAGCGGTTACCTTCTTGTTACTCTGTTCATTTCAACCAGTTACCTTTTTTTTAAATCCTTCGTAAATAAAAACCAAAATGCCATTTTAATATAATTTTTAATTTAAAAATAAATAGATATACAAATAAAANTTTGTAAAAAAGTCTATTTCACCATGATTAAGACCCAATTTCATAAAAAATAAATAAGATTATACCTGCTTTACAAATAGAAAATTTGTATGAAAATGTCACTTTTATTTTTTATGAATAGGGCAGTAAGCCTGCAAGACGGGTAGTCGTTAGCGAACGTGTGTTGAGCTAGTTACCTTGACTGTTTGGATGTTATTTTGCAGGTTACTCTTGTTCTGGCTGTGGGAAAAAAATAACATACTTTCCCGCATTGCTACACGTATGTGTGATGCTCTTATTCACTCTATCCCATTGCTTTTGAGCTTGCTTCTGTTGCTCTTATGCTAACGGGATTCTTAATTACTGCAGCTAGAACCCTCTTATGCTAGTTACCATGCAGGTTACCCGCTGGTTACCTCAGACCGTTCTGCCGGTTACCTGTCTGTTAGCAAGGGGCTACCGTCTTGGTTACCTTTTTGTTACCTCGACCTGCTGCGTCGGTTATCCGAGCGGTTACCTTCTTGTTACTCTGTTCATTTCAACCAGTTACCTTTTTTTTAAATCCTTCGTAAATAAAAACCAAAATTCCATTTTAATATAATTTTTAATTTAAAAATAAATAGATATACAAATAAAATTTTTTCAAAAATATTGTTAATCTTCTATGCCGAAAACATTGATGAAATTCTTGGTCACTTTGAATCAAGTCGTATGGTGTAAAAGATTTATCCGTACGCATGTGGCCAACCTATAAAAAGATAAAAATTAATTTACCTTTCTTTACTTTCTTATTAAATTAAATTAAATTAAAAATTTTATTTTATATATCGCATGTTTAATAATATACAGGATTATTTCAAGATTTCAATTTTGTGGGAAAACGCAATCAAAGTTTTTCCAATTCATACAGTTGGTATACCAAAAGATAGATGGAAAGACACATGTCTTCGCCATTTTTGGACAGTTTAGTAATCTGTTAGGCTGAGCATATTCTCCTAATAATATTAATAAGATTGCCGCTTACATATGTTTATGTTAGTGTTTCTCCTTATCAAGCTAATTATTTGTACTATAAAATCTCCAAAAACGTAAATTTTTACATCTCTATATTATTAAACGTGCGACATATATTTATTTATGTATGTATGTCCTTAAATCTTCCCTCGATGTGAACTATCGTAAGTAGATTTTAAAAGTAATAAAAGCTATAACACAAAATAACAAAAAAACTACTGCTGCACTATTATTAATGCAAGTTAATTACTAAAAGTTGGAAAATATATTAAAAGTAGATATATAAAAAAGTTACAACAATATGTGCATTTAAAAAATATATTTACATCGTTTTTCGCACCTTTTCGCTACGGCTATTCGTTGATGAAATCACCTGAATGGCACACCAGCACACCAAATCAATCACAATTGTATTTCCTAGATAAGAAAAAAATCGAAATTAATGTTAAATTAATAAATGTAAATAACGTCTTGAGAATACACATATATGTGGCATTTTGGTAAAATAACTTGTCTTTAGATAGGCCATTTTGTTTTATATATTTCATTGTGTAACCAGTAAATAAAGTTCCTGTTAATTTTTAAACCGTTTTTGCATTCTGTGTAACCGGTAAATTTTGTTACCATCTCATAAGCTGGTTACAAAGTATTGCCTCATGAAATGTGAAATACCAGAATTTTTACAAATCTTCATAGCTGAATTGCTGAAGATTTTGACTGCAATACCAACGTACCTAGAATCGCGGTGAGAAGAACTGCTAACATTTTATGGTAATAAAATTTTCCGGTTACAAAATCTTCGGTAACGTGCAGAATAGACCTGTTAAAGGCATACGTTTAACAAAAATATACAAATTAAATTCAAATCTTTTTAAGTCGCTTAAGTTGCTTTATCAAAATGCCACGGATATATGTACATCGTCACCTTAATTCACAAAGGCCCTAACCAACCAATTTTTAATTTTACAGGAGAAGCAAAAAACATTATAAAAAGAGTATCAAAAATAGGTAGGGCTTTTTAAAAAGTGTCATGTAACTCCGTTGTTTTTGGTACTAACACTTAAAAATTTTTGTTGAAGGTGTATTTTAATACATCCTACCAAAATCTGTGAAAAACGCNTGTACATCGTCACCTTAATTCACAAAGGCCCTAACCAACCGAATTTTTAATTTTACAGGAGAAGCAAAAAACATTATAAAAAGAGTATCAAAAATAGGTAGGGCTTTTTAAAAAGTGGCATGTAACTCCGTTGTTTTTGGTACTAACACTTAAAAATTTTTGTTGAAGGTGTATTTTAATACATCCTACCAAAATCTGTGAAAAACGCAGTTTCCAAAAAAGTGTTTGGTTAATAAGGCCTTTGTGAATTAAGGTAACGATATGTACACATCGTCGCTCGAATAAAGAAACAGTGTAAATGCCACATACACTATTATTCGATAATTGCACCATTGGATAGACAATCCTTTAATCTATTAGAAAAATCTTTAGTTTTCTTAAATATCTCTTTGGCTCACTAATTTATTCCCGAAAAACGAAATGGTATTTGTAAGGTTTGTAATGGTTTATAAAAACTTCCAATTCGTTTTTCTCAAAACTATACTTTTCATGTTACACTATTTCATTATTCCGGCGACGGTATGTATGTTAGTGGATGTGTGCGTGTATTCTGTACAAGCATGTATACAATAAAAATATTGACATGTTTTTAAATAACAAACTTTTATTTTTTATGTTAATCTAACTTTATAAATTAAATTAATTAGAACGAAATAATTATAATTAGGGTATTCACAATATGTNTGTTAGTGGATGTGTGCGTGTATTCTGTACAAACATGTATACAATAAAAATATTGACATGTTTTTAAATAACAAACTTTTATTTTTTATGTTAATCTAACTTTATAAATTAAATTAATTAGAACGAAATAATTATAATTAGGGTATTCACAATATGTCGTAAGCATCGTAAAATCGTCAAATGTTTCAATGTAAAATAACGTTTACAATGGTTGTAANTTTTTATGTTAATCTAACTTTATAAATTAAATTAATTAGAACGAAATAATTATAATTAGGGTATTCACAATATGTCGTAAGCATCGTAAAATCGTCAAATGTTTCAATGTAAAATAACGTTTACAATGGTTGTAAAGGATTTGTAGGGTATAATAAGGGCTAATTATATATTA